TCCGTATACAGCAAGCAGACTCTCGATGGTGAAGAATTGCTTAAGAGAAGAATGGTACTAGCAAGGCACGCCCGACCCGATTACCATGGAAACCGCATTCCACGCGCGGACGGAATTCCCTTCGGTATTAGTCTGTACCTAGATGAAGCACGGCATTTTAAAAGTAAATAATATTGTAAAGTGCTCACCACTTCCTATACGCCTAATATTTCGTCCTCCACCAAATTTAAAACGGCTCCTTACATTTTCCAGGCCTTATGAAGATAAATGCTGGCGGAGATGGAGATGTAGTGACAAGTGGGGCGCTCACCCATATCGCGCTAGTCCCGCGGGTTCGATCCCGCGGTTCGACTCCGCCCAGGCCAACCAAGCCTTCTACCCTCCGGGGACGGTGAATTGGTACCAGATTCGTCTGGGAGGATAAAACACTGACTTGTACATCGGCTGGCCACCGCAAGTCATTGTATAGGCCACATCGCATTCAATAACCCACTACGATTCTGAATGGAAGTAGAATGCGTGCCGCATCCCACAAAGATTGCATCAACGCGCGAAGGACCTTTATCCTTTATTCTTTTTTATGAAGATAAATGTGGAAGGGCGGGCTGCAGTACTGCAGTGATTCTAAAATCTGTCAACTCAGGGGGACAGTTTATCTGATGGAATGTCAAGGATGCGGGCAAAAATATGTGGGAGAAACTGGGAGGCCGCGCCTAACAAAACGGAGTCGGACGAAACAACGGAGGCGCTGGGAAATCCACCTTCTTTACTCCTGATTAGCAGTTTCTCCGGCATCGCCATAAATGGTCAGCACCTCACCCCAGGAACCCCCCTCTCGTTTAATAGTCAATTAGTACTACGACCGCTCGGTCCAAGAGTCTTGCATCATGTGTTATTAGGAGAAAATCATTGAGAGGTCTTTGACTCGAACTTAATTTACGTTCAACAACCCCCAAATAAACCAATCAAGGTACGGTACGTACATTATGCAAGTCATAATGTGACGCGTCACATCCCCACGTATTTAACTGGGTGTGGTTAGGGGGTGGGGCTTGGCTAATTGCAGCTACCCTTTCGGTAAGTGCTCGTCATGGGAGGAGTCCGTGCGGGTTACATCTCTGTAGGCTTATATTCTGCATAAAACAAGCTAAATAATTTCAGGCCTGAAGAAGGTGCTACGCACCGAAATATAGCCAGATAAGATATATTTTAAAAAACTTTTGAGACTTTTGCTGTCTTTTGAGTTTTTTGGAATAAACTTTTGGAGTTTCACATTGTTATTACACATTCAGATGAGTAATGAGACTCCGGGACAGCACCATACTCCAATAAATAGTTCAAAAAAGCCTGCTGCACCATGTGTGCACAACGCGTGCTGCACATGGTGCAGCACGCGGTACGCAGTGGGTTAAAAACAGTTCCCGCGATCAAGCGGTCCGTGAAATGCCTCCGTGCATTTGGCATCGTCGTCGCAGAGAATATACGACATTCTTAACGAAACAGTGAGCTGAATAAGCTAGGACGCGTGATTATTGCAAGCATTGCAACCACGATCACTTTCACTCTGCAAGACAGCGGCCTACAAGCGGAATAGCGGTGTACATAGCGTTGCCTGGAGCGTCGTAGGGTGATTTCCTGTGCTCTTGCCGGGAATCGGTTGCACGTCGAATCCTGCTGATTGGGCTTGCCGACGTCCGACAAACTCGTCCAAGGCGCCGGCCTCACTGCTGACGGGACCTGTTCAAAGTGTTCCAAGGTTTTTTTCGCATCTTTCGTTACTGGAGAGTTAATTTTGGGCTAGTGAATCATGATTGAGCACCTACTACCCGTAACACTTGATCGCCGGAATTGACTTGATGTGGTACATGCCGCAATAATCTGATGGCGGAGACTCATTACCACTGTTGCTCATTGCCTTCCCCCCCCCCGTTCCCTGTTGGACAGGAATGAGAAAGACAGTAGATAAGAATAACAGTCCATCGGATTATCAAAAGATTTGCTCCTAACAAGCACTAAACCTTTTTGTCGGTACACAAACTTCTTCTCACTATCTTTAATCAGCGTCGCAGGGTCCTGTTCTTACTAGGCGTCGCCTCATCTTCCTTTCCATGTATGGTCTTTTGAACATGGTCTGGGCGGTTTCTACAAGCAATGATAGCAGGTAATGATGCTGGGATTCACTCGATATGATGTATGGGACACGATGAAAACAAAATGTACCCGTACTCTGTACAGATCAAAGCTCCTAATGTATTTATCTATCCTTGAACCTACATGAAAATCAATAGAATTTTTTATTGACTGTGCTATCTCAACGAGTAATACAGTACTGGTAATACCTAGAAACCCACAGGCTTTAGAGAACATGACAAACATCTCAAAAAAAGGCACAACTAGAGGGCTGAAATTGAGGCATTGATGAGAAATATGCACTTTAAACGATCACAATGACTTCTCTCAGACTAGAGGTATGAGTGCAAGTGTGAGCAGTTTCTTACGGTCTCGGGCAACAACCACAAGAACGGCAGGTATGGTGGCACTCCTAAACTACTGCGTTGGCCCACAAGTGGCGTTTTTTCCTACTCAAAAATTTTTTGTGAAGAATGAGATGCTTTGCTATGCATCCTATATTTTGATATAAAACTTCATGCTCTATAGATTTTTGATACTTTTCAACAACGTTAGAACTGACGGAAATGGGTATTCTGGACAGCAGCCCGTTCCGCTTGAACGATATTGAAAGCTAAAAATTTGTGAAAGGGCTACTGACAGTCGTTCTTGCTGGAGACAGTGGGCGTGTCATGGGCGTGTCAGAGGGGAGGGGATGAGTTTGGAACGGCCCAGCCCGTTCTCCACCATTTGTTGAAGTGGGCTCGCGACAGCAATTGGTGGGTACACCATTTGTTGAAAAGGGCTCGCGATAGCAATTGGCTGGAAACGGAAAGCGAGCCACCCTGAGCCCCAACGTTTGCAGAGAAAACGACTATAGGATCGGTTCATACGAATCAGTGCTAATAAATTGTACCTAAAGAATAAACACCACACCAGGATCCCTTTTGGAAGCGGCTGCATACGAAATCCACACATCGATAACCTCCAATAAAACCCCCCATCAAAACGAAGACGCTCATCAGGGGTGTGGAAGCGTACCCCTGATGTACTACCTCTACTGATTCTCTTTTATCTACCGAAAACAAATTGGTGGGTGAACTGGCCCACTAAACCTCGCATCGAACTCAGTAACGCGTCCGATGCGATGCTGGGTTTTTTTTGATCGAGCACAAATATATTAGGTTGGCTAATAAGTAATGGCCGTTTTTTTCAATTGAAAAATTTGTTCGAAAAGTGAAACGTTTTGCAAGCAAGTTATATATCATCTGATAGGAAACTTCTCGTAGTATAAGAATATCAAAAAGCTTTGGTTGAGGATATAGTTTTTGTGAATTTTTTAGTCGTTGAAGTTGGAAGTGAAGTCGGCGAAAATTAGCATCTTCGACAACTGCCTCTATTTAGAAATTTCATGCTAATAGTTGAATTAATTGAATTTGAATTTGATATTCTAATACTACGAGAAGTTTGCTATTAAACGATGTTAAGCTTGCTTGCAAAACTTTTCACTTTTGAAACAAATTTTTCAATTGAAAAAAACGGCCATTACTTATTAGCCAGCCCACTAGCAGTTATTAGCCAGCCCACTAGCAGTGGGCTGGCTAATAAGTAATGGCCGTTTTTTCAATCGAAAAATTTGTTCCAAAAGTAAAACGTTTTGCAAGCAAGCTTAATATCGTTTAATAGCAAACTTCTCGTAGTATTAGAATATCAAATTCAAATTCAATTAATTCAACTATTAGCATGAAATTTCAGGTGGAACAGACGTGAGCCTGCCCAATATTGGCAAGGTGAAGGTTGCCAACTTTGAAATTCTTGAAATTAGTTCCAAAGCGTCCTATTGAGATTCCCTTGCTGAGACTTCTACCTCAACCTTTTCCGAATGTATGGAGCAGCTTAAGCGATTTTAGCACTTCGAGTAGACGTAAATAGAGGCAGTTGTCGAAGATGCTAATTTTCGCCGACTTCACTTCCAACTTCAACGACTAAAAAATTCACAAAAACTATATCCTCAACCAAAGCTTTTTTGATATTCTTATACTACGAGAAGTTTCCTATCAGATGATATATAACTTGCTTGCAAAACGTTTCACTTTTCGAACAAATTTTTCAATTGAAAAAAACGGCCATTACTTATTAGCCAACCTAATATGTTAAAAATGGCCATTTTTGTCGACATGTCCAGTCAGTTTGATCACTAAAAAGTATAGCAAAAAATGAACCAAAAAAAACTAAGCAGACCAATGTAAAGAGCAAGGAATTCTCTATCAAACGCCTCAAAAACCACTAAATAACCATGGCAAAATTTAGATCAGAGAAAATCGACGCCAGTACATATGGGCCAACCGACTACCTGAATAAACTGAGCGGGCTCTGAACGAAATTCATCTCCTATTTAAAATGTCACTCGCAGCCGCTATGGCCCGTTGAGAACATCTTTCAGAATGGCGAAACGGGCAGTGCTAGGAAGCAGCGTCACTGGCGTGCCTTCTTCTTCCCAGCTTCTCGACCTCCACGCAGTAAATGTAGAGGCGGGCCAATGAGGTCGTTTCCGGGCTCCGCCCACCCGCTGACCCAAACTATGTGCTTGGTTAGATGACTGAGCACCATCACCTCGGTCGACTAAACACAACACTGAATTGCGGCCTAGTGACCCTTCAAACAGATCATAACAAAATCTTTCCATATATAATCAATCAGTAAAGTAAAACACTACCAGGATGTCAACGAGCTAGTTCTGTCTAAGGATTGGTTAGATTTCCTACTTATATGATGAGCAGCAGAACCAGGATACTCGACGGAGACTATACCCAGTGACGAGGTCGATCATGCGCAGGTCCTCAGGTGACTGGGCATTTTGAGGAAAACCAGCAACAGCCATAGTGGCAGTACTATGATGTGCTGCTGGGCTTCCTCGCGTTCCAGTAGTGAGAGCTTTGCATCTCGTAAAGCCTCGACACTGTCCTATCGTAGGCAAAGAGTTCTTCTTCCCCAGAAAACACGTTAGCCCGCACGTCAACCTATAATTTGATAGATTTCGTTACTGAGAAAGAAATGTCGGCAAACTACTTTCTACCAACACGACTACCAAGCATAGCTCTTAAATACGAACACTGGGGTCATCTTGGCTCAATTCGTCCATTACCACTCTTTGTAGATCACTAAGCCCATTCCCTTCTTCAGTATCAACATTCAGTTGAAAAAGTTTGTCTAATGTTGTTTCCGCGCTGACCACCAAACGGACCTGGAAAGGAAATATCAACAGGCAAAAAATGCCATCATCACTATCTACTCTTTCTGCCCCAATCATCCAAAATCAGACCAGTTTTTGACCTCTTTTTTCTCCGCTGGCAGAACTGGCTGAAAATTTGTGTACTGGGCTAGTTTGACCTCCTGAACAAGAATATCACATCCGCTCGGCCCAAAACCTCCTGGCGCCCGCGCCACAGGCGCCGGTGATTTAGGGTATTTTGGCACGGACGCCAAGATGTTTCAGGCCAGGCGGATGAGATAGATATTAGTGGTCAGAAGGTCTAACTACACCTGGGAACAAATTTCTAGACAATATGATTTAGCGTATTGTGGAGCCGACGCCTGTGGCGCGGATGCCAGGATGTTCCGGGCCAAACGGATGAGATATTCGAGGTTAGGAGGTCAAACCATCCCAGGAGACAACACCTGAGCCAAGTCTGTCCCGAAGAAAAAAGTCGTTCAAAAACTGCCTCGATTCAGAGTGGTTGGGACACTAAAGGGTAAATAATCCCAAAAAGGCTGTGAAAAGTGTCAAGATGTACAGGCTATAAGTTCTTGAGAACATCTTACAATATACAGGATTATTTCACAGGTATTTTTTCAACGTTTTAAAACACTCTTTCTTTTCCAAACTGATCTGGCAACCGTGTCCCACGAACAAGAGGAATAAAGGACGTTCTGGCCTGCGATTTTGAGTATTTGTTGATGTAGTGAAGGGTCCAGTAAAGAAAAATTCTAGAGGCAACTGCGCCAGAGAGAAGTTTAGAAACAAGAACGCCATATTCATTATGGAACAAGCCGAATTTCCCCACGCCTATATTGAACATTACGAAAGTTTAGTATGAGAAGCTGATTTCTACGAAGTTAGTGAAATGCTTTATATGTTGGACTTGAACACTCTCCTCAATAAGATCCCCATACTAGTTTTTTACCCCGAACCCCCAAACTCTTTTAGGGGCCGGGTATACATAACGGGATGGGGAAATTCAACGAGAGTACGCAGACTTGGTATCGGGAGTTCTCTGTGCTGGGCTAAGCCAGGAGAAGGAAAATGATCACTCTCCATAAGACGACACTGGGGAGCGGATCTGAAGACACTTCCCGCGATCAAGTGATCTACAAAATGACTCCGTGCCTTTTGAACTGTTATACGCGATCACAGAGAACACCACCTTCGTCCCTCAAAACGGCGAGATAAAGAAGTTAGAGACACGTGAGCGTGGCGGCACATACTGTAGCTGTACGACAACGGCTCACAAGCTTCTATTCCCACACACCCGCGCGGACGTGTCGCCCGAGGTGCTCCTGGCGCTTTGCTATGTTCGGTTATCCGCGCTTTCCGAGCACTGGAAAAGATGGAGTATTTAAGCGGGGGTCCTGAACTAAACCCCCTCAATTACTCGGTTCGGGCGGAGCTCAACAGGGTGGTCTACAGTGGCGGAGAAATCAACGATCTCGCTCAACTCCGGTACCCACTCACTTTCGCGCGGCGAATCTCTCGATGGCGCTCCTCCAGAAGGCTGTGGCGGAGTTATAGTATTTAATGTGCTCTTTAATATGGTAGTAAAAATGTCCGATAAAAATTTAATAAAGTGTAACTTATAGCGCCTTGAAAGTCATGGAGTACTTCTGTAATCCAGTAGTATGTAGAATCTGACTTCTTTACACCTTAAAGACCGCTTTCCCATTCGAGCTCGTGTTTCAGAAGTTGCGATTGTGAGTGTAATTTTAATTCTCCAAACTCATTTTATTTTACATTCCATTCATCGTTTTATATTGAATGAGCTGGAAATGATGATGAGAGGTCACCAGCCAGTGCAGCCAATTAAGTGAGGTCATCCCACAGGCGATCTCACACGTCTCCCCACAGGCGAGGATGGGAAGGTGCTAAATGAGGTGCTAAATGAGGTCAGCCTAACTAAATTGACATTCCCTGCCCTCTTTCCAGCGATTAGCGATTAAGCGCAACCTCGCACCGTTGGACATAAACTGAAGACGACTTAGGCTGTTTTAGAGTTCCATAGTCTTTGCAAGCGCGATTCCAATTAGGAGGATGTGAACAAAAGAGCAGCAAGCCTTTTTTGAGTTTCATACTCTGCAAGCGATGGGAAGGACGTGAACTGAAGAGCAGGTAGTTCGTCTTCCATACTCGTCGCAAGAGGAGGATGTGAAATGAAGAGCAGTTAGTGTGTTTCTCAGACTCACCTAATGATCTTTTAGATGGGGCACTACTCAATTGTTACTATCCCAATCTTCCGACATCAGACCAGTTTTACTATCGAGCTTTTTGAAAAAGGCTAAAAATTTTGTTCCAGACCTTCAACCTCCAAACACGAATATCGCATCGCTTGGCCAGGAATTGCCTGGCGCTCACGCCACGGTCCCACGGCTCAAGCTTTGCGCTCCAATCGCTATGGAGAGCGTCCTTCACGTCCGACATACTCGTCCAAGACGTTGCCCCACTGCTGAGGGAGGTCTGTGTTTAGGGTGTTCCCGAGGTTTTTTTTTCGCTTCTTTTTCTACTGGGGCTACTTATGGGCCACTGGTTCATGACTGTGTACCAACTACCCGTAACACTTGATCGCGGAAATTGTCTTTAATCGCGCCACCCAACCTTTACTCAAACGACTTACGTCTGTATCTTGACTGACTGGAATCATTCCCTACCTTTTGATCGTAAAAGGTATCTATCATCGTGATGAAACGTCTTGCTGCACTTAATTTGGACCTGGTTAGCACAGGTACGTTGCGAAGTATAATGGTATGAAAGACTCGAGCGAGCACCAGATAATCAGCAGCACCGCACGGCCGCTCGCACCACTAAAATGGACTTCTTGAGAATAGTTTAATAATCACAATTTACAAACGCCCTGACAGAGATGTGCCACCACTGATGGAAACTTCTGAATAGCGAACTGAAAAGCAAATACCGCGTTGAAGCTCAATGGGCAGGAAAGAACGAACGTATTCTCAACATCTCGCCGAGAAAGTGAATGAGCAAGAACTTTCGTTCATCGCTCGTTTATTTGTGCTTGAACATACCACAATGCTCAAGGTTGGCAAATGTGATACCCCCCCCCTACCCCATAATGAGTTCAACAAGATTTGTAAGCTTCTGTCCCATATACGATCTTACAGCAAAATAACCAAGGTAGTAACCGAAGCTTACATCAGCAAAGTCGATATCCGCTACTCCACCACAGCACTTCTTCACCTCCACTGTTCGCCCCAAGATATTGAGCGTTTTTGTGCGAACTCCTAAAAAAAAGAACAATAACGTAGTGATTTATAGCAACCGATGATGGGTTGGCTCGAACTCTACTACCCCAACAATAATTATTGACTTCGCGTTAAAGACACATTTCCCGATCGCCGAAAAGTTCGGGGCCCACATTCCAGTAGAAGGCAAGCGACCCATAAGAGGATTAAACAGAACCTTGAAGTTCTCCTTAGTGAGACCAAGGACTGAATGATTATTCAAGCGAAACACTGTTGCGCAAGCGAGAGCCGAGACAACAATGGTGAGAGAACAGGAACACGAGAGAGACCACAGGTCAGTCAGAATGAATGCAACGCGTCATACCTGTGTGTGTGCGTGCGTGTAGTAGGATCGGCGGCATATCTCGTCCTCAAGTTAGCGTAAAACTGTGCAGGACGGATATGCTTAGAACGAATTCGCGCCTACTAAGTTTTCAAAAACTATTTAGAGGATTCCTCATGTGTTCGAGGGGCACAGGACCGCGATCACACTCATAGCTTGTCGCCATCCGAGAGTGCGTGAGAGCTGCACTGGGATCACAATGGCCAAAACCCCGCCTATATCAAGCTCAACTACCTACCTTAGCACCTTCATTCGAGTGGAGGTTTTACTACTGCGTCCCCGCTATGGTAGGGTCACACATGTGCCCGAGTCCACTCACCCAATGTCCGCAAGAAATTTTGGTCATCCCATTTTGAAAGAGCATAGTGAGAAAATCGAGAGGATGGCCATTCTAGAGCATTGACCAGGGAAGTCCGCCAACTTACCATGGAACTTTGAATGGAGACCTGGGTAGATCGATAGAGTCTATAAGGTTATTTACAAATATAGATAGCAAAACTGCAACCTGCATTTCACAAGCAACTTATGAGCAGGTAAAGTTTGTAATGGTGCAGTAGGGTGGAGGCTTGGTGGTGAGCTGTGAAGCATAAGCGAGGAATCGCATACGTCGAATCGAGTCGTCGAACGTCGAACCTTACCACTGAACCACCACGACTCGATTCCTCGCTTATGCTTCACAGCTCACCACCAAGCCTCCACCCTACTGCACCATTACAAACTTTACCTGCTCATAAGTTGCTTGTGAAATGCAGGTTGCAGTTTTGCTATCTATATTTGTAAATAACCTTATAGACTCTATCGATCTACCAGGCCTCCATTCAAAGTTCCATGGTAAGTTGGCGGACTTCTCTGGTGAGTGCGGAACATGTGGGAGCGACTAAAATCGACCATTACTTTGCTAACAAAGCCCTGTGAAAGATAAAAACAGATTAGCGCGTTGCGCGTGGAGACAAATAAAATGAAAAGTTATGGAAGTGGATCGAGCACCAGCGAAATCAGAAAGAGAGTTGAAGTGATAAGCAGAACAAGTAAGCGGTTGCAGAAGTTCTGACAGTCGAGAAAAGAGTATGGTAATAGCAGCGTCAAAAACTCACTGTCTGTTTCATGAGCAATTAGTTCCTTGAATACACGATCACAGTGCTGATTTACATCACCATTTTTTGAGCGAACAAAAAATGTATCGGCCTCTGCGCTTCCAACTCGTCGGTAGTCGATACCGGAATCCAGACTGAGTGTACGGCATTTGTTCTTACAAAAACATCCATCACGATTACGAACACCTCCGAGATGAGAAAGAAAATGAGCTGAAAGGATCAATTCAAACCTCTAAGACGCTAATGAAAGGTACGAATTGATGACGTTGTAATCCATTCTTATACAAGTCTTTGGGAGGTCTATTCGAAGTCGCAACAACAACGAGACCCTCATCAAATAACAAAGAAAAGAATCTTTTTAGTATCATAGCGTCCGCAATGTCAGTGACCTGCAGTATAATGAGTCCAGACACAAGAGAATACAGCAACAGATATACACTCTACACTCCTTATCCCTGAGACGGAGTAGGCGTGGCATCATGACATAGAACGGATAGAACTCGTAGGATATTTCAACTCGAGACAACTGTCGTCTTGTTCTGTGCTGGGCAAAGACATGACCACATTCGCCTCAAAATGAAAATATTTCACGGAAACCGCAATCACTGTTACGTTTAGTTGAAGTACGCAGCCACCCCCACCACACCTCAGGGTTTACAAGTGTAGATATTGGGATAACAAAGATAGTAGTATATCTCCACTTACCTGAAACTCATCGAAGCACAGAAGCCTACATCTTTCCATGATATCGTCGACAATGTGCGGCACCGGGTCAAAGGTGCCCCGCTCACCATGATGAGCCATTTTCAAATTATGCATATCTGTTAGAAAGCAGAAATATTAAAAATTATGCAAGACACTTTGATGAGGCCATGCCACGGCTAAGGAAAATTCAACCGAGAGAGAGCCCTGTTGTATAAGGGTGAAATGAATAATGTTTTACGATCTCTTACTGAAAAACTTTTGAATAATACCTAGGATTGAGATGGGGCATGCGTGTGATTACTTGAGGGCACGTCGGTAAAAGCGGATGCACATGGTGATATTCCTAGAGATATAACCAGGTTTTCGTGGTTCTCTTGTAAGACCATAAACTTTGGTCACTCCTATCTATTGTTGATCCATCTGTAATCGAGCTGATCAGTCAGTCAGGAGTTTTGCCAGGCTCACGAAAGGTGAGCAGGTCAGAATCAGCATCGAGAGAGACTTCCAGCAGACTGAACTTTGCACGAATGCACGTTGTCTTGGGCGTGGTTCACGCTATGATAGTTTCCTTCTGGCCTCAAAAGGAAGGCGTATTTCTTCTTCGCGAGTACAGCCATTTGTTTTTACTTATCTTATGTGAACCAACTACGGATCGGTTACTGAGCGTGATATCTTATGTGGCTGAAAATACTCTGTGACAGTTTACAAAGCACCCACATCTGCTCATTAAACCAATGAGTACGCGGCTGTCTAGAGGCTTGGGCTTCTCTATCTTAAATTCCATCCTCCCAGGACGCTTCCCAGTGCAGTCACCCAGATTCCAACACCCCCTTCTCCCATCGACTAGTTTTTTTTTCTTGGGAAACTCTCTTGGGAGTTAAATGGAGGTGATGGAGAGGTAAAGTTGGATTTTCAAGTCTGACGGGTCCTACTAGAGGCAGGCAATGCAGGAAGGGTAATTGACCAGTGTTCCCATCGCCACGGCGTGACCCGACTACGACTCACTTCTGTGGACGTCCTGCATGAACGAGTGAAAGTGGACGCGTTCCTTGTCTTCGAATGGACAGCAATCAAAAAACAAATCCATCAGTGTAGTTTTCCCGCAACCGACAGTACCCCACAGATAGATTCCTTGAGGAGCAGTTTTCACATGTTTCCCCTGAAATTACTGATACTCAGAGCACAATGTTTCTCAATTTTCTGTAGTTTCTAAGTTTCCCTACAGTTGAAAAATGAGGATCAAGATGTTCAAAGGATTTCCTCCCAGTTAACTAAAATGACCTAACATTTTCCAAATAATTTCACGAACCGTTTACACCATTACGACGACTCGTGTGCAGGGGCAGCTCTATCATTAGTGAATTTGCCGTTTTTACAGTCGAGGAGTTGATCGTAGGTCTCATCAGTCGCGGGTCTCCATCATTTGTGTACTCTATCGCCATCCTTTAATCCGTTTCTCTTTCCCAGGTTCAGTGCCTCTTCACCATATTTTCATTGTAGTTGTTGGCCGAGCAGGTCTCTTATATAGAGCCTTTTCAATGTTCCTTTTTCTGT